TAACGCACTTTTAATGTCTGTGTTACGTAATTTTACTCTTCACAAAAAAAAAATACAGAATTTCCTAATGGTAATTTCTTACAAACGACGGTAAATTTAATGTAATAAGCATTATTGAATAATAAATATACCAAGTGAAAAAAATATATATATCTGGGTCAGTAGTCCAACCTTGAAAGATGATTGGCTGACGAAATCACCTGACAGGCCAGACATCTTAATGAGGTTACCCAGAGGGTAAAAACATGCAAAGAGTCTTTGTTTTGTATCTGATATATTGATGAGGGAAGTCAAAAAATGGACGTCAATACAAGGCTTTACTGTTGGTCAATGTGAATTTCTCTTCTTTAATGAACACATGCATCTTATACGGTCTGAATCTTAGTTTCTCCCTCACCTATATATATATATATATATATATATATATATATATATATATATATATATATATATATATATATATATATATATATATATATATATATATATATATATATATATATATATAAGTATATATATATATATACTAGCATTCCCGTCCCCGCGCATTGCCGCGGGGTTAGAAGAAAGTCTGACGAACTATATTAGGAGGGTTTCATCAAAACGTTACCAATCTTATATTCTTACAAGTGTGACCTTGTTTTCTAAAACTGGGTTATTTAAATGTAAACAATGCCTGCGCTATATTTCTTGGAACTTATTTGTCAGGACACGGGTTTATCTAAACTACCACCCAGCACCCGTGGTCTATTAAAGCCTTGAGTGTACGTTAATCACTTAACGTAATAGTGAGGTAGAACTCACTTCAGCCTCCGCTCAGGTGTCAGGGGCGAAAATGGCGCTCCCGGGAGCTCCCGGTTACACTACCGCAGGGGCGCCGCGAACCGTCCCTGGCTCGGTGTAATCAACGAATGTCGTGTGCCACCATGTCAGTATTACAGTGTGCTCCTTAAAACTAACGTAGGCGCCACGGTATATCACACGGCGCCAAATCCCACCATACCAGGGCGTACGTGCCTGATTCAATTTAGTCAACGACTATACCAAATTTTATTCATATTCTATTGCACTCTTTAAAACGAACGAATGAGCCATAGCGCTCACGGGAAAGCCCGGAGAGCCAAATAGCATTTGAAATTTCGTTTTTCCCACGCAGAAACCTACCTATGAGTATTCTTAACAACTTCCGAATGCATATATATATATATATATATATATATATATATATATATATATATATATATATATATATATATATATATATATATATATATATATATATATATATATATATATAATCTACAATAATCTTACCCGTACCCACACCCTTACCCTTGTGTTGCATTATAATATAACTAATTTAATATTTATCTTTTTTCTATTTATCTTTTACCTTGATACACCCAAACTTATTAAAAATTTATGTCGTTAAACCCCTCCATACACACACACATACACACACACACAAACACACACACGAACATTGTTCTCCCAGTTCCTGGACTGCTATTATATACAACCAGACGTATGTATGCAAAAAGGAAGATCCTAATATTGTCTAAATACGCAATTATATTTTTATGTGTTTTTCCCCCCACAGCGATTTTAAGTTTCTGTATTCCTTCGTCGTGCTGTATGCTGTGTTTCCGGGAAATCCCCCAAAAAAATAATCCGATGATTAATTTAAATTGGGATTACCAAGCCTGATAAGTTTTCAAGAGAGCAAATTATAAAAACGTGTCTGGCCTCGTTTTAAGTCTACTATTTTTCCGTTTTCTGAATTTTCACAAATTTTCAGCTGAAGAATTATTGCACTGTTCCTTAGTCTAACGGATAACATCTGAACATCTACAGACATCACTAATGACATGGTCAGGAGAATTTTTATGTTTGAAGTCAGGTGACTTTAGTCTTGAAAGGCCAGGCGTATATTTTTAATGTGTGTGTGTGTGAATGTGTGTGTGCCTGTGTGTAATTTGTGTGTAGATGTGGGTATTGTGGCATGTGTGTGAGCACGGGTGTATGTGTGTATGTGTTAGCATGCGTGTGTGGATATGTGTGTGTTTGTGATTTTGTGTGTGCATGTGTGTATATGCGTGCATGAGTGTGTACATTAGTGAATGCATGCATGTGTGTGTGTGCATGTGTGTGTGTGCATGTGTGTGTATGTGTGTATGTGCGTATGTGCGTACATGAGTGTGCAGGTGTGTGTGCATATTTGTTGGTGATTTCGTATGTGTAAATGTGTATATTCGTGCATGAGTGTGTACATGAGTGAATGCATGTATGTGTGTGCATGTGCGTATGTGCGTGCATGAGTGTGTGCATGTGTTTGTAAGTGTGTGTGCATGTGTGTTTGCATGTGTGTGAGCATAATTGTGTGTGTATGCATGTCTGTGTATGTGTGTATGAGTGTGTATTTGTGTGCGGGGGTGTGCGGGGGTGTGTGCATGTGTATGCCGAGAACGTTCAAGTCACTAAGAACATAATTAGTAACTTGACGTTTAACACCTTCCTATCCCCACCTCCCATTTCAACTAATCACTCAACTGTTAATTACATTTAGATATAAAATAGTCAGTACAACTGATGTTGAACTTATTAATTAGCCTAATTAACTTGATGTGTCAGCTACTACTAATGTGTTCGGTTTTTTTCTTATAAAAATTGGTGATAGAAGATTGCAGGTATAGTGTGTTTGTCAATTCTATGATGCATGTTGTGATGTGTGTATGTGTGGTGTTTTGGGAATGGTGTGAGTGTGTGTGTGTGTGTTAGTTCTGAGACTTTGTGTTATTTGTGCGTGTTCTGTAATCAAGCGTTGAAATGTGTAGGCTACACTCAACACTGCACAAGTCGACAGTGCACTATTTTACAGTGCAGCAAAAAAAAAAAAAAAAAAAAAAACTAATTCACGCTCATGTCATGCTCTTGCTAAAAATAACTTGTAATAGCTAAACAAAGGCAGCCTTTATAGTTATAGCCCTTTGTAAGAAGATCATAATGGTGTGCGGTGATAATGGGGGTGGGGGGAACTGAGCCCGGAGGGGGGGGATTGGGTGTTTAATGTACACGAGATCCCTTACAAAAGAGATCAGATGACGTAGACCAATGTTGAAGGCAAGTGCAGATGTGTATGGTCAGGTCAAGCTGGAGATTACACACCACGCGTGTAATCACGGCCAGAATGGTCATTACATCATGATAAAACTACATTCAGAAAGATCATTACATCATCATAAAACTACGGTCAGAATGGTCATTACATCATGATAAAACTACATTCAGAAAGATCATTACATCATCATAAAACTGCGGTCAGAATGGTCATTACATCACGAGTGTAATCACGGTCAGAAAGGTCATTACATCATCATCATAAATACTACGTTCAGAAAGGTCATTACATAAATCATCATAAATACTACGTTCAGAAAGGTGGTTACATTATAAATACTATGTTCAGAAAGGTCATTACGTCATCATAAAAACTACGTTCAGAAAGGTCATTACATACATCATCATAAATACTACGTTAGGAAAGGTTATTACATCATAAATACTACGTTCAGAAAGGTCATAACATCATAAATACTACGTTCAGAAAGGTCATAACATCATAAATACTATGTTTAGAAAGGTCATAACATCATAAATACTATGTTTAGAAAGTTCATAACATCATAAATACTATGTTTAGAAAGGTCATAAAATCATAAATACTATGTTCAGAAAGATCATAACATCATAAATACTATGTTTAGAAAGGTCATAACATCATAAATACTATGTTTAGAAAGGTCATAACATCATAAATACTATGTTTAGAAAGGTCATAACATCATAAATACTATGTTTAGAAAGGTCATAACATCATAAATACTATGTTTAGAAAGGTCATAACATCATAAATACTATGTTTAGAAAGGTCATAACATCATAAATACTATGTTTAGAAAGGTCATAACATCATAAATACTATGTTTAGAAAGGTCATAACATCATAAATACTATGTTTAGAAAGGTCATAACATCATAAATACTATGTTTAGAAAGGTCATAACATCATAAATACTATGTTTAGAAAGGTCATAACATCATAAATACTATGTTTAGAAAGGTCATAACATCATAAATACTATGTTTAGAAAGGTCATAACATCATAAATACTATGTTTAGAAAGGTCATAACATCATAAATACTACGTTCAGAAAGGTGGTTACATTATAAATACTATGTTCAGAAAGGTCATTACGTCATCATAAAAACTACGTTCAGAAAGGTCATTACATACATCATCATAAATACTACGTTAGGAAAGGTTATTACATCATAAATACTACGTTCAGAAAGGTCATAACATCATAAATACTACGTTCAGAAAGGTCATAACATCATAAATACTATGTTTAGAAAGGTCATAACATCATAAATACTATGTTTAGAAAGGTCATAACATCATAAATACTATGTTCAGAAAGGTCATAACATCATAAATACTGATGTGTGCCGGTGGTTAGAGGTCATCACATCATCAATACATGGTTTTATTTTTTTACAGTTCGTAAAAAAATCAGTGAGTTTTATATTTTCTCACTGTTGAAGGTACAGTTCGTAGATTCAGATTTTGTACACGTTTCACGAAGAATATTATGCTGCCTTAGCTAAGATTTGTTGCTAAATTTTGTATAGAATAAATGAGCTTTCTTTTATTCAGCGGACTGGTGGAAATTCCGACCTTGAACTTTGACCGCCTGCTTTGTTATATAAATTTTTAAAACACCGAATCAATAGCCCGTCGTAGCGAGTCGGGTGTTCGTAGTTTTTTACAATATTTCTCTGCTCTGATTTTATTATCGAATTCGGTCAAACTCCGAAAGTGTTCAGTGGTTAATGGTTTATGTTAAATATCGTGATTATTATTATAACAGCGAGGTCAAGACAACCTCGAATGAAAACTGGGTCATGTCGATGGCTAAATATAGAATTCAGTCGTGACCCAGACTGCTGAGGGAAAAAAACCCGACTAGTTTAGAGTGGCTTCCCCTTCTTCGTTGAAAATGAGTGCAGACGGCATACGGTAAGCTACATTTGATATTTACATTTAGATAACAAATACCGTTTTGTAGATTATTGATAACTGATAAGATGTAAAATATGGTTCTTTTCGATTAGCCGTACGTTCGTTGCTAAATCGCTGATATTGATTATTTACCTCAAACTTCGGGATTGGTTGAGGTTATTAGATGGCTGATGAATTGATCCCATTTTGAATCTTGGCGTAACATAGGACAATGGATTTATGTATCGTAAAATGTGAACAGGTTCGTGAAACTCGTAAACAAAATGTAGATTCAATCAATATGATGTGGCTTAATTATAAAGCTAGTGATTTAAAATTACTCTGCAGAATACATTAATGATAATAAATCGGACTGGTATTTTGTATTTTACTGTTATTAAATTAAACTATAACACCAAAAATATCGATTCAGTTTTCAAAACGTAATCGATACGAGATGCGGCCGCCACGTTGTGAGCTGTGGGCTCAACCATCTCTGTAGGGGCGTCAGCATCGATGTAAACAAACGGTTAATAGACTCACCCAACCGGCTATCGACGGGATGTAGCGTTGTTCGCGCGCGCCAGTCACTCACACAGTGACAGTGGCGAGGGAGGTTAGAAAACAAAACAATGACGTATAAAGTTAAATGTGGTGAGTTAATTAAGTCCGGGCTAAATAGCTCGCGAGATTGAGTTACATGATTTCTGTATTTTGAAAAAATACAATGACAGCATTGCTGAAATCGTCTGTTTCAAAATCGACTAATTAGAGATTAGCGTCCCATGTCAATAAGATGTTAATGTCAGTAGTGTTTCTTTCAGAGACTTATTTTCTCCAGGGGTTGGGGAGGGGCACTTGATATTTTCCGGGAGGGTAAGGGGCGAACATTGGTAAAAGTATATATTTTCAATAAAAATTACATTTTGTTTGGGGGGGGGGGGTGAAGAAATGCCTGGGGAAAAAATCTGAATGGCAGGCGTCACCAGAGTATAATATATCAGAGTTCGGGAAATCCCAAAATGACTTAAAAGATAGTCAAGGTGAAAATATTATTTATATTTCACCCTGACATTTTCTTTCATTTAATTGTAACGTATTGTCACAATTACCCAAGGATAGTTGTAGAACTTAAACCTTCGAGACATATGCAGTATAAGGTCCAATCTATCACTGTTTCATATAATAAGCATTTTGTCTTGTGTAATACATATACCTATAAGCACATGTATATACACACATACGCACATTTAAATATACACATACATACGTACACATGCACATATTCCTATCTATATTATGTACATGTAGATGTACAAACAAAATAGATTTACATAGAGAATGGTTTATACATTTCTAAATGCTGATGGATGTACACTGGAGGAATTAATCTGGCCGGTAGATATCGCCACGATAAAAGCTAATGGACGCTATTTTAAGTCACAATAATATTTTCAAAAATGCCACAATAGAAGTTAAATGAAGCTACTTTGATTAACAGCAATATTTTTAAAAACTCCCCACTCATTTCAATATTTGACCTCCTAATTTGGATACACTGTCTTAAACCACTTGAATACACAGGAATAAAAAAGGTTCGGTCTGAGTGAAGGTAAGGGAGATAACAAAAATGGAAGGTGTACTTTTTGGTGACTAGCCAGGGATTTTATTTAATTTAGAAAAAAAATACTAAACCAAGATCTATTTTTAAAACGATTTGATCTACTCACGTCTCAGCAAATATTTATTTATGCATTTTTTTTTACTCTAACAATATATTCCAGCTATTTAATAATCGAGGAACGCAATAGATTTTTTAGTTCAAATCTTAAATTTAAGTATTCAAAGCACTTTGTATACAATTGCTGGGTGACATGAAATGAGAGAACAGGTTTTTTGCCTCTTTGCACTGTAACTAACCTATTAAAAAAAAAAAAAAAAAAAAAAAAAAAAAAAACCACTGACGTCTGCAACTGCCTCCCACAGAGAAGCTGAGTCGACGACACGGCTCGGCAACCTTTTGAAACGGAAGAGCCCAAGTTACAATTTTCAAAATTTTCCAGTTTTTAAAGCGCCACTAACGTTTTATTATTTCAATATTTTATAGTTTGATTAGGATTAGGTAAATAAATTTTATTTGTTATTTAAAATAAACAGCTTTAAATATGAAATAATATTTTTTCATACAATAATATACACTTGTTTCACCAGAATGATGTAATTAGTAATACAAAAAAATACAAATATAGGACTATCTTAAAAAAAAAATGTCACTTAACCTATGAAAATGTGTTGTTACAAACATTTTAATCTGTTCTGTAGATTGTTTATCTCGTTGGTTTATATACAAACTAAACCACGTGACGAGGTTAAAGTTCAGGTGTATACTAACCCTCAGCTGTGTACAGGCTGAACTTGTGGGTTGGGTGAAGTTGATATGTCGTTAATGTCAGGTGGTTCATATAGGTTGTGATCTTTACTGTAAGGTCAAATTTTGTTTTAATGATGTCTTAAAGCCAAGCTGTGGTCAATCTTGATGCTCACTTGTGGTCAGTTGGTGCACATTTCTTGTTAAATTTGGTGCACATTTGTTGTCAGTTTGGTGCACATTTGTGGCCAGTTCTGTTGTACATGTGTGGTCAGGTTTGGTGCACGTTTGTGGTCAGTTCGTTGCCCGTATGTGGTCAGTTTTGGTGCACATTTGTGGTCAGTTTTTATGCACATTTGTGGTCAGTTCGTTGCACATTTGTGATCAGTTTTGGTGCACATTTGTGGTCAGTTTTGGTGCACATTTGTGGTCAGTTTTGGTGCACATTTGTGGTCAGTTTTTATGCACATTTGTGGTCAGTTCGTTGCACATTTGTGGTCAGTTTTTTATGCACATTTGTTGTCAGTTTGTTGTACATTTGTGGTCAGGTTTGGTGCACATTTGTGGTCAGTTTAAATACTGAGTTATGGTAAACTTTTTATCAGCCTTGTTTACCGATGTCATTGAAAACCACATGTTAGAGTAATGTGTGGGAATATCTGGCATTATGTGCGTGTTTGTGTGGTGTGTGTGTGTGTGTGGTGTGTCTCTGTGTGTATGCAAGTATGTGTGGTGTCTGTGTCTGTGTAATTATATGTGTGTGTGTGTGTGTGTGTGACACAATGTGGGCTCCTAAACCCGACGTCACACCAAGGTCACCCGGGTATCAATGTAGGTCACATTAAATAGGTCACTCGGGTGACCTAACGAGCCGGTCTGCATGTGTTACACTAACCCACCCCTCCCCCTTACACGCATGCAGTCTCTTGTTATCCAGGTCTAGATAAGATCTGCTCGGCTTGCATGTCAATCAACTTGTCAGGGGCGGAGACATTTTTTTTTTACGGCTAGAGACGAGCTAGCGCTGTTGGTGTGGCTGTGATTTTCTACAGTTTAGGTCATATATATATATATATATATATATATATATATATATATATATATATATATATATATATATATATATATATATATATTATCTGCTAGCCACTATCTGACTGGTATCTTGTCATTTTCTGGCTTATGCAACTTATTTGTTCTGCTGATTATTGAAGTTCTCTCCCCTACCCTATTCCAGAATGGGGTAGATCTCCGCCTCTGTTTATCACGCATGCTAATGTGTCACTGTAGGCAGCTGTAGGTAATATAGCTGCTGTGCACCTAGAGCCTTATAGCTATGCTGTAGTTGATGTGCACTTGCGGGCAGACAACTTTGTCAGTGTTGCTGGATAATCACCCGTGTACCTGCACTAGCCAGTACAATGAGGTAAGGTGGCGGCTCACGCGGATGTGCTGGTAGAATTTAAAACTGCGACGTGTCAATACAGTGTTGGTAGAATTAGTATCATTGTGTAACAGTGATTTAATTCAATGATTTTTTTACTTTCACGTGTACACAGTATAGAGAAAGTATTGTAATCGTGCAAAAAAAAAAAAAAACAACAAAAAAACAACAACAACAACAGCTAAATGCGCTTTTAACCGTTTTTGCCGTTTTAAACCTCCCTACTTTATCGTATGCGGAACATAAAAGATGCATTGTAATCGTGCAAAAATCTAATTCGAGATTTTGACAAGTTTTGACCTCTTATAGTTATAACCTTCCGGACCCGGAAAAAACTTAGTTTTGCTATCTTATCCGTCTGTCTGCGTATGTACACGATGAATTGAGCAACGTCTAAGTGATGTTGACGACATTTCATGTATTAGTAATATATACAATTTGTAGTTTCCTTTCAACTTTTGAGCGGTTTCCAGTTACCAAAAGTGGTACTTAATCTTCTTCCGGTTTCTCAAAAACCAATAACTTGAGTACCGTTTCAGTTAGGTGGACGAACTTATATAAGTAGGTGTAATTTCTTACTCTCTTCATTATTTCAAATTTTGGGTGGTTTTCTGTGACCGGAAGTTTTACTGTACGCTGTTTCTGATTTCTCGAAAAAAGATCACTTCTACCGGACCTATTTCTCTCAAATTGTACTCGTCGGGGAAGGCTTCGATGACAATGCACTGTAACATAACATGGTACTTAATTAGATGTTTAATTAGCTTTCTAAAAAAATCATTGTTTCCTTTATAAAGTATCAAATAAAGTAGCTATGGATAACATTAGTGTTTGTTTTATGATATGATAGTGAAATTAATAGTATTAAGTGCTGATAACAGTAAAATTTGTTGTATAAATTAGTGTATATAAAATAGCTTTAAGGCATCAGGATTTGTTATTCAACTTAAGAATATAAAGTGTGTGCAGGGCATTACCGCCCTTCCAATTAACACCAGTCATTACCTCCCCGCCCCCCCCCCCCCCTACCACCACGCCACTCGACATCATCCCCTGAAAAATTACTCCAACCAATCCCTCTAAAACAAAAATAAGTAAATAATAACCTACAGTAGGACATTACACCCCCGTCGATTACTAATTGACCCTAAAACTAATAGGAATGTGGTAGGTAGGATGGTACGTTTTGTAGTGGGAACACGAATT